TCATTTCGGCTACTGATTTTTTTAAAAAGAGAAACCTTGTATATTGGGAGAGGCTAGCATAGATCTTTTCTTTATCGATAGAAAAGAATTGTTCAATAATATCATTTGTTTGTGAATTAATTAATTCAAATTGTAAATTGTTATCTTGGAAAAGTTTCATTTCTTTCAAATTCCCCTTGCAAGTCTGAAACTCATTTCGTAACGATACGATTGTTTTCTCTAAATTTTTGCTAAAGAGTCTTCCTTTTTAAATATCAGTTTGCAAAAGCGACAAATCTTGTACTTTCTTCTCTATTATGTTAGTTTTTAATAACTTGATTTTCGTTTCAATTGCTTTGATCTGTGAGAAAGCCTTATGTATTACTTTATCCTTGCTTTGGAGTTTCAAATTCAATTCATTTAATTGAGATGTAATATCTACTATAGAAGATGCTGACTCTAAAAGCCATGACGAATTTATCGATTCGCCTCTTTACTTTCTCAACCGTAAATATTTCACTTTTTAATACAAAAATCTCTCTTTATTAAACTATTTAACACCTATACGAGAAATTACATTTCTGAAAGTAATTCTTGAAATTGGCTGTTTACAGCATTTACAGCATTGTGTTTATCGATGTTTATTGTTGTTTATTGTCTCGTTCACGAGCAGTACTAAGATTACTATAAGCATCAGGAGTCCTGCTTTAGGACATTTCCTCGAAACGTTGTCAATCTTTGGACTATTGTAACTACGTGAAAATAAATGTTTTCGTTATAGAATCACTCTAAAAAGTAAGGAATCATTTCCTCATCGAGTGTCATAATTCTTGGAAGATGTGTAAAGAAGAAAATTGAAAAATAAGGACCATCTTTTTAATAATTAGGATACTATATAAATTTACTAAGATTTTGTCTGCGAAAGATATTCGACATACAGTGAATGTAAAAAGTATTCGTACACTGGTCAATTTGAACAAAACCTTTGCAGAACTTTGTTTATTACAAAAGTATGTTAACAAAAACATGCATACATATTCTTAGAAATCTCTGGAACAAATGTCATTAATAACAAATTATTTATTTATATTTATCATGAAAATATTAACAAATTTCCAGAAATTGACCTAAAATATACGCGTAATAAGTATTCGTACAGTCTTTGATTCGTAACATTCCACATGGAACGATTACAAGATAATCCATGATACGAGGGCGGTCCGATAAGTACTTAGCCTCACCACCCGATGGTCGCCACGATGGCAAGAGAAATTTACTATCGTATAGTACATTCTTGTAGACAGTTACTGTCAAAATTTCAGCCGAATCGGACTCGTAGTTTTGTTTTGACCGCGTGTGGAAGCGGGTGTGTCCGTGTATATTAGAAAAATGGAAAAAGAGCAATATCGGTCGGTGATTCGATTCTTGTTTTTGGAAGGGAAATCGCGCAGCGAAATCAAAGAGCGCTTGGATGCTGTGTACGGTGACTCTTCTCCTTCGATGGCGATCGTCAAAAATTGGTTTGACGAGTTTCAACGTGGTCGCACGTCAGTTTTTGAAGAGCCACGTCCAGGTGCCCCGAAAACGGCTACCACGGAGGATAACGTGAAAAAAATTCACGATCTCGTATTGGCAGACCGACGATTGAAGGTGCGCGAGATAGCTGAGACAGTAGGCATCTCAAAAGACCGCGTGGGTCATATCCTGCATGAAATATTGGGCATGAGAAAGCTGTCGGCGCGATGGGTGCCGCGTTTGCTTACTCCGGACAACAAGCGCAACCGTGAGACCACTTCAGAGCAGTGTTTGATGCTGTTTAGGCGCAATCCGAAGGAGTTCCTGCGTCGTTTCGTGACCGTCGATGAAACATGGATCCAGTGGTACACACCAGAGACCAAGGAACAGTCGAAACAGTGGACTTCACCCGGCGAACGTGCTCCGAAGAAGGCGAAGACTGTCCTATCGGCCGGAAAGGTAATGGCCACCGTTTTTTGGGATTCAAAAGGTGTGATCTACATCGACTACCTGGACAAGGGCAAAACGATCACAGGGCTCTACTATGCCGGATTATTGGGCCGATTCGACGCCGAATTGCAGGAAAAACGGCCCCATTTGGTGAAGAAAAAAGTGCTCTTCCACCATGACAACGCACTGGCTCACACCTCCGCTGTCGCCAAGGCCAAATTGGTCGAATTAGGCTACGAACTGCTGCCTCATCCGCCGTATTCTCCAGATTTGGCCCTGTGCGACTTCTTTTTGTTTCCAAACTTGAAAAAGTGACTTGCCGGGCAGAAATTTGAGTCGAATGAGGAGGTTATCGCCGCCACGGAGGCCTACTTTGCAGACCTCCAGAAAACGTATTTTTCAGACGGGTTAAAGAAGTTGGAGCATCGCTGGGTCAAGTGTATCGAGCTGATAGGAGACTATGTAGAAAAATAAATCGCCACTTTTCCAAAATTTTTGTTTTTCTTTTGTAGGCTAAGTACTTATCGGACCGCCCTCGTATGTAAACATACTTAGCATCAGTATGTCTGGAGACGCTGTCGGTATAGGTAGTATCCTGAATTCAAATATTATCAACGAAATTATCAGTAAAATGGGACGAAAACGCAAGGAAACCTCTGAAGAAGAAAGGAAAATTGTTATAAATTTACATAATAAGTGTAAAACACTGAGTGAAATTTCTAAAGTTTTAAATAGACCGAGGTCCACGATTCAAGGAATCATTCACAGATATGGCGATCGAAAAACTGTAAAAAATAATCCAAGAAACGGACGTAAACGAATAATAAATGAGTATACCGGCCGATGGATAATTCGAAAAATAAAGATAATCGAAAATCCAAAGATAAGTGCGGTGAAAATCACAGCTGAACTTAATAATGATCTGAATATTAATGTATGCAGTAGCACAGTGCGTAATTTTTTACGGGATAGAGGATATCACGGCAGAGTAGCTCGTAAGAAATATTTCGTAAATGAAATTAATAGAAAGAAACGCGTGCAATTCGCGAAAGAGTACGTTAATGTTCCTATGGAGCACTGGAACCGTATTATATTTACCGATGAGAGTAAATTTAACATATTTGGGTCAGATGGACGATGTACACTATGGCGGAAAAAAAATACCGAGTACGAAAAAAGAAATTTGAAGGCGACCGTAAAGCATGGAGGAGGAACAGTCACAGTTTAGCAGTTAGGCTCTATGAGTGCGAGCGGGGTTGGATCCCTCCATTTTATCGATGGTATCATGGATCACAAAATGTACATCGATATTCTAAAAGAGCATCTTCAGGTTAGTGCAAATAAAATGCAGTTACAGGGCAATTATATATTTTTGCAAGATAATGATTCAAAGCATAATGCTTCTAATACACGTCAGTGGATCCTATATAATGTGCCGCAGCAATTAAAAATCCCTCCACAGTCTCCAGACGTAAATGTGATAGAGCACTTATGGTGTCATCTTGAAGAAAAAATTCGAGCCCATCACATTTCTTCGAAACAAGATTTAAAAAATGCACTTTTAGAGGAATGGAACAAAATTTCTAGTACTGTAACCAAAAATTTAGTAAATTCAATGCCGCAAAGGCTTGTAGCGATTATACAATCTAAAGGAAATCCCACTAGATACTAAAATAGCAAATAGACTGATTTTTGTTACGTTTATGTACTAAAATTTACAGTTTTTGTTGTAAAATTAGAAGTGTACGAATACTTATTACACGTATATTTCACGCCAATTTCTGGAAATTTGTTAATATTTTCATAATAAATATAAATAAATAATTTGTTGTTAATGACATTTGTTCCAGAGATTTCTAAAAATATGTATGCATGTTTTTGTTAACATACTTTTGTAATAAACAAAGTTCTGCAAAGTTTTTGTTCAAATTGACTAGTGTACTGTTATGCCGTAAGCTGCAGTCTCGTTCAAATATTTGCGGCGTCACAATATTAGGTTGATTTTAGATTGGGAAAGGTTCAAGCACTCGGACAAAGGTATCAGGATATACTCTAAGGTTTATTCGGAGACTGAACACTGATGCACTCTTTACAAGATGAAACGTGAAAATGAGCCCGGAGGGCCAGGAGCGGTACGCTTTTATAATTTTTGGTTTAGGTACAGCCGGGTTAGTTCTGGGTGTATGACGCATTTGTTTTTACACCGTAAAGGAGTCAACAAGTTCGTCATCTTCTTAGAGTATCGCTTATGACTAACCTTATCACTATGAGTAATACTTATTTTCTATGGGGGCCTACGGCATGACAGTACGAATACTTTTTACACTCACTGTAGTATCTTATAATTTTATATACAGTTACTTCCACTCGTATTATATAATTTATATTATTTTATATTAATAATTTATATATTATAAAATTTGTTTCTTATGAATTGAGCCATTTACATTGAGATATTTTAGGGTTTATCAACTTGGCGACGTCGAAAATATCGATTCTTGTTTGATCATCGAGGTTAAGTTAATTTACCTACTGTTTATATTATTTATACCTCTATTAGTTTATTAATAAGACTAGCTTGTTAATATTAAAAAAAAATTTTTAAATCTCTTTGGTAAATAAAAGTAATGCAGTCGAAATAAACAATATTTCGTAAAAATAAATGCAAAGAATTCCTAGGAAAACAAGTTTCTTTTCATTTATAGCGAATCACCATTATAGTGCAATACAAGTGGCATGAAAATGTATAAACACTTATTTTCTAATACAGTTTCTCTGTACAGTCGTGAATTCTAATCCGTAATAATTAGACTGCGGATCTTTATGGAAATTCACATTTTTATTAATAGAATTAATGAAACGGAAGCTTCGCGGAGGGCTGTCTCAACCTTTAAATATAATAATTCGTATCTTACTTTAAGTATTTCTTACATTTTTGCATATTAAATGCATTCTGTAGTTTTTTGAGGATTCAAATTTCACAAAAATGCATAAACATCCGCAGTCTAGTAATAATTTATCCGTAAATTCTCAAACTCAATGGAGCAAATTTGCAGGTGAAATTGCCGTCGTTGGACGACAAATCCAACGAGTGGTTCAATATAACCGCTGAGAATAGCTGCGTGGATTTGACGAAGAATTCAAGGAGGAAACGGCAACTCGTGGTTCGCGTTTGCAGAAGCTCGAGAGCGTGCCAGAGCCATTCATGCGTGAAGAAGTGTTGTCCAGAGAACGAAGGATTCACCAAAACTTTGACGAATTGTTCCAAAATCGCCGCGTCCGATTCCCCGTCAATTTTTTACCAGACAGTTTCGAGACTCACGAACGAGACATGGAACGACACAGGTTAGTTTCATGATAAGAAATTCGATTTTATCGCGACTAGGTAAACGTAACTTTTCCAAATTGAATTGTATTGCCGATAAATTTTTTAATTTAATCAATGAATACAATTAGCGACTTGAATTTTTTCGTGGCAATTTTTTAATGTTCGTTGTAAATAGTTATACTGCGATATGGGGTGGACCTTAGTTATGGTTGGAGAAAATTTTGTTTTGCTTTTTTTGGGATGCCCCCTAAAACTGTGCTACAGTATGAAAAAAAAGTTCATTGTATGAAGAAAATACGTTTTTTTCCGTTTTAATCCAGTTTCTATACAGTTTTTTATATTGATAAATTTTCGCCTTTTTACGCTCCATGAGAATATAGAAAAAAAATATTATTGGACGATTTTAATGGAAGATTCTAGAGGCCAAAACAAGACGAAAATCAAGAATATCAATTTCTTGATTGAGGCTTCGTTAAAAAGTTATTAAAAAATTAAATTAAAAAGTTTCAAATCATTCTGGAAAAATAATTTTCTGTTGCAGGGGTCAATTACAAACATTTTTGGTCGATAGACATACCCTCAAAATCCTAACCATTTACGAGAAAAAAAATTCATTATCGAAAATATGATTTCTGGTCAGAAATGTCACTCCAAAATTTCATGCGAATCTTTAAAACGTCATAACTTTTGAACGGATTGAAGGATTGTAATTTTTCAAAATGGAAACAACGCGTATTTTAGTCAAGAATATGTAGAAATTCTAAGAATATTGGAAAAGTTGTTCCTCAACACCGTAAAGTTAGAAAAACCCCATGAAAGTAGTCTAATTTTCAATTAGCTATAACTCCTACAATAGTGAATATATTTCAACGAAACTTTTTTCTGAATTAGAGCTCATGAGTATCTACAAAAAAGTGTTAGACAACTTTTCTATAGGGTGTCAAACAAAATTACTAAAAATTAAAAACGAATTTTTCAGAAAAATCGACTGCTGAAATTTTTCGGCGAAAAAAATTTCAAATTGTTCTGGAAAAATTATTTTTAGCTGGAGGGATCATTTACAATAATTTTTGGTGAATAGACGTACCCCCGAAATCTTAATCACTTTCGAGGAAAAAATTCGTGTAGGTGGACAAATTTTATTAATAATTTTTAACAATAATTTTGTTAATAACTTTTCAACGAAACCTCGATCAACAAATTGGTATTCTTGATTTTCGTCTTATTCTGGCCTCTAGAATCTCACATTAAAATTTTTCTCTGGGGTGACCGAACACCCTGTATACTTTTCTTGTCAGCCATCGATAAAAGAATTCAGTATATTTTCCGGTGTGTTGTAGGAATTCAGCTGTGAAATAAAACAGGTTGAAAATCGCTAATCCTGATTATTTATCTATCGGATTAACCACCGAGGAGGCAATATTTCAAAATTTATAAAAATAATAATGAAACGGTGAATAGACATACCCCCGAATTCCTACGCACTTTCGAGAAAAAAATTCTTTACCGAAAATACAATGTCTGATCATTAATGAAATTTCACACCAAATCCTCTTAAGTTTCATGCGTATGTTTAAAAAGTCATAACTCCTGAATGGATTGGACGATTTTAATTTTTCAAAATGCAAACAACGCGTATTTTAGTCAAGATCATGTAGAAATTCTGAGAATATTGGAAAAGTTGTTCCTTAACACCGTAAAGTTAGAAAAACTGCATAAAAGTGGACCAATTTTGAAACTGCCATAACTCCTACAATAGTCAATGGATTTAATTAAGATTTAGTGGTGAGGTAGAGCTCATGGATACCTATAAAAAAGTATTAAACAACATTTCTGTACAGCGTCAAACAAACCTATTCAAAATGAAAAACAAATTTTTAAGAAAAATTCATAGGGGGTAGATGCCTAAATTCGGCAAAAAAAAATTTTAAATCATTCTAAAAACAAAAATATTTTTAGTTGCATGGGTCAATTACAAACATTTTTGGTCAAAAGACATACCCCCGAAATCCTACGTAGTTTCGAGAAAAAAATTCGAGTAATTGCTGAAAATTTTTGATAAAAAAAAGAATTTCGAATCGTCTTTGAAAAATTATTTTTAGTTGCAGGGGTCAATTACAAGCATTTTTGATAGAGAGACATATCCTCAAAATCCTACGCACTTGTGAGAAAGAAATTCGTGTAGGTGGACAAATTTTATTAATAATTTTGTTAATAACTTTTTAACGAAGTCTCAATCGACAAATTGATAATCTTGATTTTCGTCTTATTTTGGACTCTAGAATCTCCCATTGTGCCCCAAGATGAATCATCTTTTCCCAGTGTCCAATTTGTACTAAATATTTGCACACACCATTTTTTTCATACAGTGGCACAATTGTAGGTTGCATAAAACACTCGATGATTGAAAAATAAGGTCCATCCAACGGTGAAATTAAATTTCATTTCAAAAATATATTACAATCCATTATCGTGCTTTGAATTCGTTGAATTTATCACGTTTGACTACCTTACGTTTCCTTTTCTTCGTTTTTAATAATATACGTCCTCGTGTTCGCGTTTTTGTTTACAAGGAACCGGAATATGGTCCGCGTTGAAGTGCGAGTTTGGGATGTACAAGATCGATGGCATCGAAATACTCGGTCTGACACCAAAAGGATACTTGGTATGGTCTAAACTATCTTCGATAGCTTTCCACGACGAGTACTGCTTAGAAGTGTTCCACAACGAGACCAGCTTGAACGAAACTACACATATACTGGCTAAAATATGCTTCCCGGGGCCAACAAAAGAACCTGCGATCAGGTAAGAGCACATTTTTCTATTAGACCATCTCATAAGTAACTCAAGTATATTTTCAAAATCATCGTTTTCTATGACTTTCTCCCGTCTTCCAATTACTGATTCAATATTCAAAACATTTCATGGATTTTGAATTAAAAAACGCTGGTTCGTTATTGTCGAAATTTTTGCCCGTTAATTGACTTGACCTACGATTTAATTCCAAATAATTTTTCAAACGTATACTGTACAATTTTATTTAAATTTATTCGTGCAAGGAATGGCCATGGAAAAGTTTGGATTTGTTTTACGAATACCTCGCGAATATAATAGTGTATTGATTTTAATATGTAAGACTTGATGACCAGTGAGCAGCCTCATGATTGTGTATGTTGGATATTATACAGGGTGTTCGGCCACCTCTAGCAAAAATTTTAATGAGCGATAGTAGAGGCCAAAATAAGACGAAAATCAAGAATACTAATTTGTTGGTGGAAGCTTCGTTAAAAAGTTATTAACGTTTAAAGTGCCGCTCTTACTGAATTTTTTTCTCGAAAATGCGCAAGATTTCGGGGGTATGTCTATTCACCAAAAATGACTGTAATTGAACCCTACGACCGAAAATAATTTTTCCTCAACGATTTGCAATTTTTTAATTTTCTCGAATAATTTCACACCTTCTCTATTTTTTTTCTCGAAAGTGGGCAGGATTTCGTGGGTATGTCTAATGACAAAAACTGATTGTAATTGACCCCCGCAACCGAAAATAATTTTTCCACAACGATTTGCAATTTTTTTTCTCCGTTGAAAAATTTAGGCACCTAATTGGATTTTCAGTAAGGAATTTTTTTCTCGAAAGTGCGTACGATTTCGGAGGTATGTGTAATGATAAAAAATGATTGTAATTGATCCCCGCAACCGAAAATAATTTTTTTAAAACGATTTGAAAAATTTTTTTTCGCCGAAAAATTTCAGCACCTACTCGATTTTTTTTCTCGAAAGTAGATAGGATTTCGGAGGTATGTGTACTCACCAAAAATGATTGTAGTTGACCCCCGCAACCGAAAATAATTTCTCCAGAACGATTTGAAATTTTTGAATTTAATTGTTAATAACTTTTTAACGAAGCTTCCATCAACAAATTAGTATTCTTGATTTTCGTCTTATTTTGGCCTCTACTAGCGCTCATTAAAATTTTTGCTAGAGGTGGCCGAACACCCTGTATAGAAAACAAGTTTATCGATGAATTAGCACCGAAATCGCGACATCTCACGTCGGAATGTACGTATGTTTTATTTGTTTTGTATTCCGACGGAGGCATGTATGGGCGAGGCCCACTCTGTCTTTAACTACACGCGTGTAAAGACCGCCATTAGTCGAGTATTATTAGCCAAGTGTGTCGATATTGTATTCGAAATATAGACAATTATTTGTGGCATAGATTCCTGTGCACTAAATACTCCAACAGTGTAAAGTTGACATCAGGAATTTGTAACGAGTCAGACTCGTCATTCTATGGCAAGGAGTTCAAAAATCTTGCAACAATCAGAATAAGTGTTAATTATTCGATACAGGGGAAAGTGGTGGTACAAGTCCCTAATTAAAATTTTTCATTTCCTCGACTATTGTTCCTCCTGTGTGCGGCCTAGCATTATCGCGAAGGAATACAATTTCTTTGAAATTCGCTCAGAATTTTCTTTTTCTCGCTAAAGCTGCTCGTAGACTCCAAAAAAAACCCTCGAAAAACATTCAAAATTTCATGGGACCCCTTACAGATCTTATGGAAAATGGCCCCCGGTTAAATTAGCTGAAATTTTGATATGATGTAGTTCATTATGTCTTGATGAAAAGTTCCAATAGGCCCAAGCTCATAACTTGAACAGTTTCCGAAATACAGGGGATCAAAAGTCAATAATAGTGTGTCTTATTCTAGACTACCACGTTTGAGCATATCTGAGTGTAAGAAGCACTGTTGTACACTGTCCATTTATTTGACCCCTTAAAACTCAATAGTAGTACTGTGGACCCTTAAATACTACCCCTAGACCACCAAAGAGGACATAAAGTTTATAATAATGACAGAAAAAATTAAATAACTTTTTTATCGATTGCGGAAAGTATATTGACAGCATTGAAAGATTCGTAATTGAGTGTATACTTAACAATAAAACAACATAATTAATATGAAGTTTGATACCCTTTGTTTCTTACGACCTCTTTAAGTCTTCTAGGCATACTTGCAAACAATTTATTTATAACATTTTCATCGATACTGTTCCAAGCACTCGGTAGTGCTTGTTTAAAAACTGATTTATTATTCCGAAATTTCTCACTTACATTTCGATATAAGTGATCCCACAGATGTTCAATTAAATTCAAATCGGGACTTTGAGCAGGCTATGGTAACAATTGAATAACATTTTCATTGAAATATTTCGTCGCTAGTTTACATTTATGTTTGGGATCGTTATCTTGCTGGACGATATAATCACCGTGAATGTTCATTTTTAGTATCGAATCTTGTAAATTCTGTTGCAAAACATTTACATATCCTGCTCCTGTTAATATCCCGTCTATAAAGTGTAAATTGCTATCACCATTTGCAGAAAAACAACCCCAAACGCATACTCATCCCCTGTCACTGTTGATTTAAAGCATTCACCTTGCTTTCTCCACACATATTTGCTTCTACTACAACATCGAAGTTCAAATTTTGATTCGTCACTGAATATAACCTTCTTCCAGAATTCTGGTGATTTATTTTTAAACTGTTTCGCGATTTTAAAACTGTCCTTTTATTTGACCCCTTAAAACTCAATAGTAGTACTGTGGGCCCTTAAGTATTACCCCTTGACCCCCTGACCCTCTGCTGCAAAAAGATGATGACGATGAATTATAGATTGACACTTCGTTAGTAGATAACAGCCTCAGAAGACTAAAAGTTTATTCACAATTTCGGAATTGTACCAAACATCAAGTTCTTATTTCTCACATTCGCGAAAATGAACTGGAACTGGAAGAGGAAGTAATAAATGGTTACTACTGCACCTATCAATCTGGTGTCAAAACATTGGGTACATGCGCACATATTGCAAGTGTTTTAAGGTTTTTAGGATTTGCTCGTCATCAAAGGCATGCCAAATATTCGGATGGCAATCTTCTAAATACGACAAGAGATGCCGCTAATAGAGGGCATCAAGACAATATGAATGTTGAAATTCTTATGGCCGAATAGAGAGAACCATAAAAACGGCCCTTTTCAGGGTCACATGGTGTGCACAATCCGATCGAGCAACCTCTTCGTGGTGCACACTGGGTAATGCTAATGTCGACGGTGCTTCATGTTTGTACATTGAAAAAGAGAACCATTTTGTACCTTTTTGGCGTTTTTTTATTTTGACTCCTGAAGGGGAGTCTGAGGGTCAGGGAGTCAAGAGGTACAGTCGCCGCGGAATGTATGTTGACATGTTTCGGAAGTATGTATTTCTGACGAAAGGCCAAGTGTTTACATTTTTTTCCCAGGCACTGAAGTTAATTATCACTTATTGTTTACTTCTACTAGCTCACTGTTCAGTTTAGTTCAGGAAACTGTAAATAACGGACGTATAGTTTTAAGTTTGCATAAAAGGCTCACGCGGAAAGTAAGTTGACACGCAATTTCGCGCTTATTTTGTTATAATATATTTGTACAATAGGTGTCAATTAATGATTTATTTGTTGCTTTCTCAATGTTGAACAATATCCTACATATAATACCACTTTAAATTATAAACATTGCTTTATAGTGCCTAAAACTAGACAACTCACACCTGCAGAAATGTCACAAATATTTAACAGGAGAATAAGAGGAGATTCTTTAAGAAAAATTGCTGTTGATTTCAACATTTCTGCGGAAGGTGTAAGGAAAATAGTACATAGATTAGAACAGAATGGAACTGCAGAAAATCAATCAAAATCTGGACGTCCTCGTACGAGAAGTGAAGAAAAACCCCTTTATTTCGACCAAACAGTTGAAATTTGATTTAAATCTACCGATTCAAGAAACACAAATTCGTGCACGCATAAAAGAAGCAGGATTCGCAGGACGAATATCAAGAAAACGACCATTCGTATCTAAAATTAATGCTAAAAAACGTTTAGCGTTCGCGAAACAGTTTAAAAATAAATCACCAGATTTCTGGAAGAAGGTTATATTCAGTGACGAATCAAAATTTGAACTTCGATGTTGTAGTAGAAGCAAATATGTGTGGAGAAAGCAAGGTGAATGCTTTAAATCAACAGTGACAGGGGATCAGTATGCGTTTGGGGTTGTTTTCCTGCAAATGGTCTTGGCAATTTACACTTTATAGACGGGATATTAACAGGAGCAGGATATGTAAATGTTTTGCAACAGAATTTACAAGATTCGATACTAAAAATGAACATTCACGGTGATTATATCGTCCAGCAAGATAACGATCCCAAACATAAATGTAAACTAGCGACGAAATATTTCAATGAAAATGATATTCAATTGCTACCATAGCCTGCTCAAAGTCCCGATTTGAATTTAATTGAACATCCGTGGGATCACTTAGATCGAAATGTAAGTGAGAAAGGAATAATAAATCAGTTTTTAAACAAGCACTACCGAGTGCTTGGAACAGTATCGATGAAAATGTTATAAATAAATTGTTTGAAAGTATGCCTAGAAGACTTATAGAGGTCGGAAGAAACAAAGGGTATCGAACTTCATATTAATTATGTTGTTTTATTGTTAAGTATACACTCAATTACGAATCTTTCGATGCTGTCAACATACTTTCCGCAATCGATAAATAAGTTATTTAATTTTTTCTGTCATTATTATAAACTTTATGTCCTCTTTGGTGCTACACATACTATTTGGTATTATATTAAATAACATGCCTAATATATATTTTCGATTAATTCCTAAATTATTGATTTGAAATAGAAAATATACACTTTTGAGACGTGTCAACATACATTCCGCGGCGACTGTAATATTTAAGGGCCTACAGTAC